GTTATTTAATTTCCCTGTGTTTACGAAGTTCTAGTGGTCTGTTCTGCCATTAATTTCTTTTCTTTTTTTTTTGTCTTTTTCCTTTTTATCGGTACCAGGGATCGAACTCACGACTGCCTGCTTGCATGGCAGGCGCTTACGCCGCTGAGCTAAATCCCCAGCCTCCGCTATTGCACAACAGTCCCACAATATGCACGGGGTAATTCCTTTGTACTTACTTAGGCATGTTTTATGAGCTAGAATATTCTGAAGACTATTCCATGTACAGCTGAAAACCATGTGCATTCTGATGTTTTGGGGATGGAGAACTCTGTAAACATCTAATAAGTTCATTTGTTCAAATGTTTGGCTCCGTTCTGACATTTCATTGTTGATTTTTTTTGTCTAGTTGATTTATTTGTGACAGTGGGGTACTGAGATCCTGCGATACAATTGCATTAGTGCTTATTTGTTTTTTTAAGTCTATTAGTATTTGTTTTATATAGTTGGATATACTAGTATTTGTTGCATATATATTTATGATTGCTATTTTCTTCTCTTGGATTGCTCCCTTTACAAGGATGTACGAACATTCTTTGTCTCTCTTAATGTCTTGATTGAAATCCACTTTACAAATAGAATAGTTATCCCTGCCTTTTTCCTAATTTCTGTTGCATGGAGTATTATTTTCTATCCTTTGACTTTCAGTCTATGAATTTTTAAAGTAAACATATTTCTTATATGTAGCATATTGTTGGATCTTGCTTCTTGATCCATTTTGCCAGTCTGTTTCATTTGATTGGTGAATTGAGACCATTAACATAGATGGTTGTAACTGGTATGTATTGTCTTATCCTTGTCATGTTATTTTCCTGTTGTTGGCTCTCTTTTCTTTCCCCTCTGTTTAACTGTTTGCCTTGCCTTGTGGGTTCCTTCTGTTGGGGTTCATGGAGTTATAGTCCTTGTTATCTCTTTCTAGAATGTACTTCGGAGCATTTTAGAGTGCTGATTTGCTGCTCATGGATTTTTCAGGTGTTCTTTTTCATGAAAATATTTTATTTCTCCATCAATTTTGAAAGATAGTCTTTCAGGGTACATCAATTTGGGTTGGAGTTTGTTTTCTTTGAGGGCTTGAAATACTTTACCCCAAGCTATCTGAGACTGGAGGGTTTGTGCTGAGAAGTCTGTTTTAATTCTGATGGGCTTTCCTTTGTTGGTGATTTGTTTCTTTTCTCCAACATATTTTATTTTATTTTTTGTCTTTTTGAGACAGAGTCTCGCTATGCAGTTCAGGCTGGCCTTGAGCTCACTTTGTAGCCCAGGCTGATCTCAAACTCGCAGCAATCCTCCTGCCTCAGCCTCTCGAGTGCTGGGATTACAGGCGTGAGCTACTACGCCCGGCTTTTCTCCAACATTTTAAATACTTTGTTCCTAATGTTGAACTTCTGAATTCTTGACGATTATAAGCTTTATGCAGATTTTTTCTTTTTATCATGGCTAATTGGAGTTATATATGCTTTACTTCTCTGTATGTCAAATTCTTTCTCCCTGCCAGGGAAGTCTTCTGCCATGCCATCTGTGAACAGGTTTTTTTGTGTCATTTGTGCTATCACTTGCTTTTTCTTAGACTCCACTGGATCTTGTTATTCTTTATATCATCTAGTGGCTGCCACATTGACTTCTCGTAGTTCCTTGCTATTTTTAAGAAATCTTTCTTTTCATGTTTGCTAACCACAAGCCTGTCTTCTATACCGGAGATTTTTGTCCTCATCTTGGTTTATTATGCTGTGGATACTTTCAAATGGAATTTTTAATCTTGTGGATATCTGTTTGAATCTGCTTTGTGGATTCCATTTCTTTCCTCTCTTGTGCATTCATGGTTTCCATCACATGTATCTACTCTAGAATCACTAGGCATTGTTTTCATTGTGGTTGTCATCTCTGTAGTTATCTGAGAAATTGTGATTTGATTTTTTTTTCTACAGCCTTGTTCATTTGCTTTGTTGTTATCACTTCAGAGCAGCCAGGTAGGCGGCTTTCAGATCGTGCCACCTCATCCCTCCCCCTGCCCCACCCCGCTCCCCGGGGTTTGATTTGGTGAACTGGATGTCTGGGGTTGCATCTTATGTGTCTTCTTACTCTTATTCTTTTTTTTAGATTTATTCCTAAGTTGAGGCTTACCAATTGTCTATCATGAGTAGCTTTATTGCTAGTATTTAGAACCCTTAGGAAATGACTGCTTTTCAGAAGTGTACTCCAGGTGTAGCTGGCTTTTGGGTTTTGAGTCTGTTGCAAGATGCTACCTTTTCATTTGTGCTGGTATTTTTTGGACAGTTGAACAAAGATGACTTATGCTCTGGGTGAATGATTTGGGGATGACAATACACAATGTATATACCATTGTTGCCCCCTGATTGACTGAGAGTTTTGAGATTTTGTTTAGTTCTTCTTCTTTTCTTTTTCTCCTAAATAAAATAGATTCGGAAAGCAAATCCTGCCTTTTCAATGTACTGGGGATGAGAAATTGCTGCTTACTTGGCCCAGCCCCTGGTTCTTTGGCACTGACCACAGTATTTTCTATGACACTTAGACAATCTCAGTCTTGGTATACCAGGAAGAACAGCTGGGTAGAACAGTTGTGTCACTTTGGCTAAAGTGGTACAATCAGCCATAACAACAGCATCAAACATAGCCAGCCAGTGCAGTCCACACTGTTCACTGCTCTGTTGCATTCCTATGTCTCTCTGTAGAGGGCTTTGGGTTTCCAGAAGTCACCATGACTCCTCAGGTTTTAACTACTCCGCCCACACAGTGAGCCTTGAATTAGGGAAAAGGTACCACACACCTCCTCCTCCTTCCTCATCGAAGTTTCTCTCTTTGCTCTCCCCACAGGCTTCAATTTTTGCATCAGATCTTCCTGGGTCCAGGGGATCTATTTCCCTTCTTCTTCTCTTCCTTGTGTTGTTATATTCTAGTGTCTGGATATCAAATCTTGGAGAGGCTCCCTCTGTGCTGCTTACCACTCCACCATCTTCCCAGAAGTCTCAAGCTTTTTGTCTGACTGTGAAGTAAAAATCTTTTTAGCCACTTCTTTGCAGATATCTCTTCAAATATTATACATCTGCCATTTTTAGTAAAACTTTCACCATGTTTTCTTCTTAGTTGAAGGAGACAAATAAAACTTGATCATAGTGCAACAACGAATTTAAGGGAAATGTTATGCCTGAAATATAAGAATTATATTTGGCATAGAATGATGTACCTTTAAAGTCTGACGTATGAGTTGACAATATTCCCAGTTCCTTAATATCTGGTCATTTGTAGTCATAATGCTATAGCTTTAGCCTTTCATAGAAGAATAATTCAACGCCTTTCTTTTCTGGGTAGCTACAAGTAGTAGCAGCTGGTTTGTGGCCAATGTTAGAAGCCTAAAATTTGCTAAAACAACGCCTACCTTTGTGTGTGTGTGTGTGTGTGTGTGTGTGTGTGTGTGTGTGTGTACCTTGTACATTTTAGACAGGTAGCCCTATACTCCCAGCCTAATACCTAGTATTTTTGATGGATGCTAAATCCTGACTGCAACCATTATAAACTGTAACTTCCTTTACCTCTTTTGTGCTGAGGATTTTCCCTCTTATCCCTGCTGGGCAATGGGAAACTGTAGTTACAGTGCATTTTCACTTTTCTTATTTCTTTAAGTTAGCAGTCTCAGTAGGAAGAAACAGAAATCTGATCTTAATTACAACCTTTGGAACTAGAAAATTATCTTTTAATTGGCCTAAGTCACTTCCACAAGTTAATGTTCCCAATTCCCAAAGTCTCGTCTGTATGTTTTATGCACTAAAGATCCAGAATTTTTTTTTTTTGTCTTTTTTGAGACAGGGTCTTGCTCTGCAGTTGAGGCTGGCCTTGAGCCCACTTTGTAGCCCAGGCTGGTCTCAAACTTGCAACGATCCTCCTGTCTCAGCCTCCCGAGTGCTGGGATTACAAGCATGAGCCACACGCCCAGCTAAAGATTCAGATTTTTATAAATCTGAGGCTACTGACATGGGAGGCTGAGTTCCACAATCACTTAAATCATCTTTATCTTTCTCCCTTGATTTATTTTTATTTTCTCTGTCTCAACAACTCCAAAATGAAAATTCAAGTGGATGTTTTTCTTTCCTCCTTCCCTTATTTCTTGCCTCATAACTAACAATGACAACAATGATAACTAAACTGAGTGTACATTAGACTGAAGAAAGTATCCATTTTAATTTGTAACCATGTGGAATCTTGGACAAAAATCTTATTGTAGGTGGACTTAAAATTTTTTATTCCAAATTTATTTGCTAGTTTAAAGCTATAAATTTTGTGTATTTACTTTATAGCCTGCAACTTTGTTTTTCATGCCAGTGACCAATCTTCACCCTACTCCCCACCCTCACCCCTGTGGATTTTTTAAAGCTTTTTGACTTGCATGCTCACATTACGTGTGAAAAAGGTTTCACTTATTTTCCAATCTGAATGGCAACTGCTCTCAGAGAACAAAGTTTTGCAGGCAGCCAGCTTGCTGAGTAACTGTGGGGTTTAAACTCTAGACTGGGCATGGCCTGGACTGGGCTGCCTTCAGATGTGAAAAGCCTGTGTGCTCATGGTTTTCTTGTCCTTTGGTTCTGTGCATGCTGTTTTCTTTGCTCTTACTCTGGTTAGGCCTTTATTTCCTGACTTAAACTTGATTTGAAAATTTTTTAGTCTCTCTAATTTCTGAATGGAGGACAAATCTGCTATCTCCCCACCACTAGTGGGGACTGAATTCAGGTCCTCAGCCGCATGTGCTCCGCTGTATTCACAGTTACCATCATCATCATCATCATCATCATTCTCATCAAACTTATTTTGAGATAAGGTCTTGCTAAATTGCCCAGATTGGCCTAAAACTCATGGTAATGCCTCAGTTTGCCTAGTAACTGGGATTACAGGTATGCACCATCACGCACATCTGCTATTCTTTTTTTAAATTTAAATTTACATTTTTTTCACTTCAGATGGGTAATGTGCCGATGTCATAACAAGGTTTGAGGGGGGTGCATCTCATGCACGTGGCGTGAACACCCGATCATAACATTCATGAACTAACTGAAGGCTCCAAATCTGCCATTCTTTTTTTTTTTTTTTTTTTTTGAGACAGGGCGTCCCTATGCAGTTTGAGTAGGCCTCGGGTTCACTTTGTAGCCCAGGCTGGTCTCGAACTTTCGACGATCCTCCTACCTCAGCCTCCTGAGTGCTGGGATTACAGGAGTATGCCACCAGGCCTAGCTCAAATCTGCCATTTTTAAGGCTTTCTTTGGATTTTATTTAGTCACAATTATGCTCTTCAAAAGGGAAAAAGAAAAAATATATATGTAAGATAGTTAAGATAAGTTATTCAGGGGCTGGGGGTGTATTAGCTCAGCAGCACAGCTGCCTGGTAAGCGTGAGGTCATGAGTGTGATTTCCGGTACCAAAGACAGAGAGAGAGTGAGAGAGTGAGAGAGAGAGAGAGAGAGAGAGAGAGAGAGAGAGAGACTGTGTTATACAGCTAGCTTCTCTTAGTTCATTGAAGAGAAAGTTTTGTGCTAATATTGTTTGAACAAGATATCATGTCTATAGCCTGTACTTTGGATAAGGATTATGAAGATAGTGCATAATGTAATTATTGTAACTGTCCTACTAACCTGTTTTAAAACTCAGTGTCATTGTAATGTCATCTGATCGTCTATTTTTTCTCTTTAAAACACTATGTTCTTCACACTTACTGGCCAGCTTATTCACTGGCTATTCCCTGAGTTCTGCCAAGGGACTGTTTGTCAACGTGTGTGAAACAGTATTATGCGCTGGGAAAATCACAGTTGGTTTGACTGCTGTTGGAGCCATTGAAGCTGAATACACATGCAGGGCTGTGGCGTGGCCCACGCGTGGCTGAACTGAGAATGAGGAGACACTTCAAGGGGCAAGGTGATAGGCCACAGCTGAGGCCACCTGCTGACCTTCTGGATACTTTTCCTTAATTAGCATCCTCTGTTGCTCTGCGGGGTCCTTGAACCCCTCCCAAGATCCTGCTCAGGTTTCCTCCTTTTCCCCTCAACTCCTGGTTTGTTCTGATTAAATACAGTCTGCCCAGGGTCAGTCAGCTGGTCGGCTAGCAGAGTTACAAACTCTGCAGAGGATTTTAGTCCTCTTGGAGCCCTAAAGATCATGCTGCTTGTCTCATTCCTTTGGCCTTCACTGTGCACCTGTTTGGGAGATTGGAGATCTAGGCACACACCCCAACATACTGCTTCTTCACCGTTGCAATGTTTTTAAATTACTCAATAGCACCTTTCAATCTTTATTTATTTATTTATTTTGTCTTTTGGACACAGGGGCTATGCAATTTGGGCTGGCCTTGAACTCACTTTGTAGCCCAGATTGGTCTCGAACTTCAGTGATCCTCCTGCCTCAGCCTCCTGAGTGCTGTCATTCTTTATCTTAATACCTTATCCACTTGCTTTGTTTAAATATTTTATGCACATTTCACTTATTATCTGCTATTTTTTCTCTCCCATGTATCTAGTTTGAGGGTAATTGTTTCTCTTTTTAACCCTTTCCTTTGTTAAAAAAGAAAGGTGAATTTATATTCAATCAAAGTCTGCAATGATTTCTGGATATCTTTCACAGAAATACTGTTCTAAGAGTCACTAGACTCTTAGATTAGTCATGGATTTTGTTTTTAGCAGATACAGTGAATGAACATAGTTTTCTGTAGCTACACATAAGGCATAGGGTCAGAAGGAAATCTGCCCAGGAAAGACCACTTTTAAAAGAGGGATAAATCCAGATTTTGTTATTTCCTTTCCACTTTTGCTGCCAATTTGCTTCTGTGTTTGCTTTTCTCTAACACTAGTTCATTTTCCTTGAACCCTTTTTCAACAGCATGGGCAAACTGAATGAGCATAGACTTTGCAATATAGATAGACCTGAGTTTCAGTGCAGATACTCTTGCTTACTAGTCGTTGATCCTTGGGCAAATTACTCTTGCTGAGCTTTGGATTTTCCCTTCTAAGGATTGTTTTAAAAATATAAATAAGGGCCAGGGTTTAGCTCAGTGGCGTAAGTGCCTGCTTGGCAAATGCGAGGTTGTAAGTTCAATCCCCAGTACAAAAGAAAAAAATATAAATATATATACACATATATGTATATATAAATATTTCATGCTGGGCATGGAGCAAATGTGTGTAATCCCAGAACTCAGGAGACAGGCTGGAGGATAATCAATTTAAGTATATCCTATGCTACATAGTAAGACTGTCTCAGAAACCCAAAATAATGATAGTAATATAATGTTTGGTCAGTGGAAGACATTCAACATATTACTTGTGGTTATTATTTTTTGTCTCTGACTTCCTCCTATACTCTTTAATTACTTTCCTTTCATTATTGAGCTTGGATGAGTCCATAAACTTATAATTTTTGAACATAATGGTTTATCTCTTTCATCTTCTTGATATAAGTGTGATATATTGTGGAAAAATAACTTTGCAATCTTAGTTGAACTGTAAGTTCATCATGAGAGAATAAATGTGTCTAGAATCACTGTAGAATGTGTCCAGAATCAGTGTTAGAGCCTGAAAGTATTTTAGAGACCAAGTGTAGAATGAACTGGTACAGCACAGAGAAATGATTTTTCAAGTCTTACAGTAGAGAATGTGTGAATATTAAAGTTTCTACACTCCAGGCAAAGAATTTATTACCTGAGGCAAAAAAAAAAAAAAAGAACCATTTTCATGTGTACATTTTGACTGCATTTAGTAAATTCATGACATTATCAATCGCTAACTAGTCCCAAAACATTTTTATTATTAATAAGTATACTCATTAAGAATTTACCCCTTGAGCCGGGCGTGGTGGCTCATGCCTGTAATCCCAACACTGGGGGGGGGGGGGCTGAAGCAGGAGGATCGTTGCAAGTTCGAGACCAGCCTGGGCTACAAAATGAGCTCAAGGCCAGCCTGAACTGCATAGCGAGACCCTGTCTCAAAAAGATAAAAAAAAAAAAAAAAAAAAAAAAAAAAGAATTTAACCCTTATCTTTTCACTCACACTAGTCCTTGATATTCACTAATCTTGCTATGGATTTGTCTGTTCAGGATATTTCACATAAATGGAGTCAAACAATACATGATTGTCTTAATTATTTTCTTGTTGCTGAGACACCATGCCCAGCACCCACAGTTTAAAGAAGAAAGGGTTTATTTGGCTTACAATTTGTAGAGGTCTCAGTCCACAGTTGGCTAGTTCCGAGGCAGAGTGGCACAGCGGATGTCATGGCAGAGACAAGAGTTCATGGCGTGGCAAGGAAGAGGTAGAGCAGCATGAAGAAGGAGTTAGACATTATCTCCACTCCAGGCTGTGCGCCTTGATCCAGAGGCACCAGGCTAACAGGGCTGCCATGACCGCGTCCTCCCACCAGGCTGCACTTAAAACACCACATTAGCTACAACCCATCAGCGGCCTAATCCAGTGATGAGTGTCACACATCCAGGATCCAATCACCTCCCCAAAGCCCCCATCTATAAGCACGTGAGGCTTTGGGGGACCTCAAGATATAAATCATACAGTGATCTTTTGTGTTCAGCTTCTTTCACTTAACATAATAATATTTTTGAAGTTTTTGCTCATTAATAAAAATTCAAACTTTACAAAAAAATATAGTGGAAAAAATATTCTGTAATCCCAATTACCATCAATGAATACCACTGACAATGTGATAAGAATTGCTTTTCTCACTATCTTTCATATAAATAAGTTTATACAACTCACACCTTTTTCTTCAGTTTAGTTTTTAAAATTATTATTATTTTTTATTTTAAAGAGGATAAAACCAAGGAAAATAAAACAATGGAATCAATCAAAATAAACCAGAACAAATGATACAGGACTTCCAAACCTTTTGAAATCAACATCAGTTACCACAATGTTGTCTTCAAAAATAGCTGCAGATACCACCTTTGGACATATTGAAAATCAAACAGAACAGACTAGAATAGAAAACAATAAAAACAAAACAATGAATACGATAAAGGTCAAAACAAGCCAGTAGTAAATACATAATGGCCTCCATAACGTGTCTTGCTATCTTTCAAATAGCTGCTCATGCCATCAGAGTTAAATATAAACAAAAGAGAATAAACCCAAGCCCCAAAGGAAAAACAATGAAAATATGATTTCCGGGGAGGGGGGGTCCCTGTAGGTCATGATTCTCTCCCTCCACAGTCCGCAAATGGTGCCGACTCACAGAGAGAGGCATGGGCCTGGCTGTTCAGTTTATTTTGTACTTAGTACTATATATGAAATTTCTTTTGTTAATAGATACAGCTATCTTCATTCACTTTTATGGGTATATAGTGTTTCACTGTATGTTGTAATCTATGTTATTTAATAAACTTATAGGTGAATATCCTCTTTCCTCTCCTCTCTCAATTCTTTGCAAAGTAAACTAATTTTCAGCCTAATTTTCTGAGTATGGATTTTTTTTTAAATACTTCAACACTGGAGAAATAAACAGGAAAAGACCTCTAATTCTCTAGCATTAGCTTGGATGCACTAGGAAATTGATGCATCTATGAGAGCTAGGTAAATCTTGAAGCTATTTTTAATTTCAGATTCTTTGTTTCTTGGGATTAAAACAAAAGTCATGGTATTGCTAGGGTCATAGAGGAAAGTGCCCGGGACTGGTAGACAAAGAACCTTGGATTTAGACTGCTTTTCACAAAAGACTAACTCCATACCTTTGGAAACTTACTTTAGGACACCAGTTTCCTCATTTTTGAAATGAGATAAATGGGCTAGATGGGCACTAGTATGGCAGGCATAAACTGGGGTCACTGCCCAGTTAACCATGATTTCTTCTTCTGCACAAAGAGCTCTACTTCACAAGTGTAGAACCCCAGTAGCAACATTTGATTGTGAGAGTCATCCCTCTCGGCAGAGGACCTTATTGATTTAGGGGAATCTATTTATCACAAGTCAAATCTATCAAAATGTTTCTCTAGGAATTTTGAATTTGAACTGCAGGATACATGTGTAGTTCTTCTCCGGTGGCAGGAGCATATGAGAAGTGAAACTTGGTAGCCCTTAGTAACTATATTGTGAGTATAGTGAGATTCTAACGTGGAGAGGAGGAGGGTGGCACTCCCTGTGCTGTGGATTAGTGGGGAAATATTCACATAAAAAGGAGCAACCTCTAAATGCAATATGGCATCCTGTTTTGTGTCCTGGAACAGCAGAAACATTCATGGATAAAGTGGTGATCCAAGTGTGAGAGTTAATTTTGTGTGTCACCTGGACTGGGTCAAAAGTTACTCAGATATTTGATTAGACACAATTCTGGGTGTGTCTATGAAGGTCTTTCTGGATGAGATTAACATTTGGATTAATAGATTGGTGTAGCAGATCATCTTCCCTAATGTGCATGGACCTTAACCAACATGTTGAAGGCCTGACTAGAATAAACAGCTGAATAAGGAGAATTTACTCTCTGCCTGACTGTCTCAGAGCTGGAACACTGGTCTTCTCCTCCCTGCAGACTTGTTCTCCCACGGAAGGGGAATGCCATGGTTCCTAACCCACAGCACAGGGAGTCCACCCTTCTCCTGTCCACATTAGAATCTCACTGTACCCTCCACCTTGCCCATTACAGATCTTGAGACTCTTTAACTTCATAAATATTCGAGCCAGTTCTTAGAATGTAAATCTCTCTTATCTCTCTCTCTTTCTCTCTCTGTTCTCTCTCTCTCTCTCTCTGTGTGTGTGTGTGAGAATAGGATGCTATGCCCCTCTAGAAAACCCTGACTAATCCACTAAAGTCTGTAATTTCATAAATAGTATTGCTCCTATATTAATTTCTTAGTTTGAACAAAAGTGTCATTGTTATTTAAGATGGTAGATTATGGAAAGCTTGATGGGAACTCTTACAACAGGCTTTGCTATATAAACATCTTATGTCCTGCTAATGCAATGAAAAAGCATAATATCCGTTCATGTTTTTTAAAATGTATACTTGAATTTAATCATAAAAAAGTCTTCTGGAGAGATTTTATAAATGATGATGGTGCTCTTTAAAATGGTTAGAAGTGCATGTGCTTAGGAAAGCCCAGAGAAGACCCTGTGCTGTCACCCACTGATGTCTCTAAATTCAGTGTAAATGAAGGGCAGAAGTGACAAATAAATACATGAAAAGATGTTCAACAGCATTGGTCATTCGATGAGAGATGTAAATTAAAACAACGCTGAGATTCCATTTCACCCCATACAGAATGGCTGTCATCAAAACATCAACCAATCACAGATGCTGGAGGAGCTGTAGGGAAAAAGGAACACTTCTCCAATGTTGGGGGGGTGTAGCCTGGAACAACCACTGCGGAAATCAGTGTGGAGATTCCTCAAGAAACTAAAACTAGAGGTTCCAGTTGACCCAGCTATTCCCCTTCTTGGTATCTTCCTGAAAGAATTAAAAGCATCAAATCACAGCGACATATGCACACCCATGTTTAGGCAGAGTTTGTAATAGCCGAGTCTTGGAAACAACCCAAATGCCCATGAACTGGGGAATGAAAAGGATGTCGCTTTTTTATGCATTGCAGTACTAGTGTTCCATAAAGAAGGATAAACTCAAGCTATTTCTAGGTAAAAGGATGTGCCTTGAGACCATACTCTTAAATGAAATACATCAGATACGCATGTGTAAATTCTGCATTATTTCTCCAGTGTGAGAAATTGAAACTGGTAAATAAGGACCAAAATACATCATAGATATCATGAAATAGGAAGAAAATGTTCAAATGGGAAGGGGACCAAAAGAGGAAGGGGGAAAGGAAAGACAGGAAAAAATGAGAAAAGAAGGAAAAAATGAAACAAAGCTTTTATAAATGGGGTAGGGAATGGGGAAAAAGAATCAAGTTACCTCATGTGCAGGTACAAATTCTCAATGAAGAATGGGATCATTATGTATAATTAAAATGTACCAATAAAGTCTAATTGGAGAAAAGATACTCAGTGTACGCAGCACATGAGGGTTAAGGCAGAGCTGTAAGAGTCCTGGCCGGATGCTAAGGCAGTGCCCCACACAGCCAGGCTGCAGAGGCTGGGGAGGCACTAAATTTATGTCTGTCCTGTTAAGCACTTGCCATCAAAGGACTCTCTTTTAAAACACTGGCTGAATACAGCTAAAAGAGCAAAGACCTGCCGCAACAAAGAATACAGTCTTTGCAAACATAGTTTGAAAAAACTATGCTTTACATAATTTGCCAAAATTTTATAGCTAATAGATGACACAGTTGAAGCAGTATGGAAAGATTCTTTTACCAAGAGATTTACGTGACAACTGGAAAAATGTGTAGAATTTCAGTCTACTGTAGTTTGTATGTAATCTATTAAAAACTTAGCAGTTTGTCCTTTCTAAAAACAGTTCTGATTTACAGGTGCAGTGCATCCAGACTTGACTCAGATACCCGAGGGGAAAAGGGAAAGGTGTGGCGAGGACAGGACTGGCCGTGAACTGGTAACTGCAGCAGGTTGAATGGAAGCATGTGTGGACTGCATGAGATCTGCTCACTTAATAATGACTTTTGACCACAAAGACTATTGAAAATTTATACTACATTTGGGAGATAACTTTTTTTTGGTAGCAGGGATTGAACTCACGACCTAGCGCTTGGCAGGCTGACACTTACGCCACAGAGCTAGATCGCTGGCCCCTGCTAACTTTTTTTTGATATTACGACTTTTTACCTCAGCACAGTCTGAATAAACGCACTATAGGAAGCACTATTCCACGTTATGGTTTCAGGCACAGACATGTGCATCAATTTATTCAACAATACTTCCTAGTTAGAAAATACTGTTGGAGCAGTTTTGAACCACTTGTCACATTGGATGAACCAAAACCATCTAGTTGTGAACGCATATCAAGAAAGACTCTGTTTCTTGTGTGTGTTCTGTTTATGTTTAGCTTCTTTCTTTTTCACCCCAAAGGTAATTTTCTATCAAATGATTTTGTTCATAAGCATAGTGTGAGTATAAAATGACCCCAAAATTTCACACTTTAATTGAAAAAATAGTGTAAAAAAGAAGATGACCCCTCCGACAGAACTACTCCCCCCCCCCCCCATCACCACTCCTATTGGGACTCTGCTTCCCCGTGAGTGGTACGATGACCTTAGATTATGTTATATTTTCTGTACAAGTGGTGCTTATTTATTTTCCAATTTGCAGTATTTTTGAATGTGAGAGGTTTCTTTAAAAGGTGATTAAATTAGTAAAGTAATTACAGCCAGTATGACTGGTGCCCTAATAAGAGAAAACTGGACAGAACTATGGACAAAGGCAAATCATGTGGAGACAGGAGGAGACCAGTCATCCACAAGCCAAGGAGAGAAGCCTCAGGAGAAATCAACCCTTTTAACACCTTGATTTTGAACTTACAGACTCCAGAACTGTGAGAAAACACTTTCCTGTTGTTTAATCTACTCAGTCTGTGATACTTCATTATGAAACTCTAGAAGGCAGAAAAAAATTTATCTAAACTTATTTTCCTTCTTGATGAATTAAACTCATAAAGTGAAGGATAGATGTACTTTTCTCTCTCCTTTTGAGTATGCTTGTAATTTTCTATGGTAAAAACTTTAAAAACATTAAAAATATTTCTGACTTGCATGCATTCGAATAGAATGTAATGCTCTCCAATGACATCGTGTGACTAGGAACTTCCTACGGATTGTATTTAAGATGAGCACTTGGTCAGTGGGGAAGGTCTGCCTGCTCCCTGGTGAGAGGCTGATGCCAACGCTGTTGGTTGCCTGTGAACAATGACCTGAGCATCAAGCCTTGGCCATCTCTGACACACGGACTTGGCTGGGTTGGAAACCCTGGCTCATCCGAACAGGCCCATCTGGGTCGAGGCTTTGATTCTTAGAGGCGACATTGTGCCAAATGGATACAGGGCGTTTTTCTAGGAGTTGGAAAGATGTGTGTTTAAACCCTGGCTCTCCTATCTGCTGTCTGGGTGACTGATCTTGGGTAAACTGTCTGGTTGGAATTTCAGTTTCTTCATTTGTAAAATGGATAATAACACCTGTATTGAAATCATATATGTTATGTACTTGGCACAGTGCCTGTTTGTCACTATTATGTGTTATTATTATTCTGTCTTAAGGAGATTTGGCAATTCAGAATGACCAAATCTCAGTTATGCCTATTTGACTCAGCCTCAAGTGAACAGTCATATGTGTACTTTTCTGTGTGTTACCACTTCTCCTAAGGAGACCAAAGTCAGCTAATATTCTTCCTTTTATTTAATAATAAACTTATTTAATAATTTCTTTCATATGACCCTTAGAAAATAAATGGGTTTCAACATACTTCAGAAATAGGAAGGCTCAAATAGGAAGAAAGTTTACCTACCATAGAAATTCAGCAGAGGTAAAAGATTTATTGATTCATTTGACAAATATTTAACGAGTACCTAATTTATGACAAATGTTATTCTATATACTAAGAGATTATTTTGGCTCACAATTTTGGGGGTTTCATTCTGTTGTCCCTTTACCTTTGGTCTGTAGTGGTGCGTCATGGTGGAAGTCTTACAGTTGAATAATCCAGGTTCTTGTGTACAACAAGAAAAGAATTGCCAAGCATACCCTCAGTAGTAAGACTGAAGATTATATACTGAATATCATGAGAAGTTGTGCTCAGGGCCAGACCATGCCAACAGAGGTGTGACAGCTCAAGAAAGGTGCTGGGGCAACAGAAAGGCATGGCCTGCAGGCGAAAGGTAGAAACAGCCAGAGAGAAAACAGGAGGTCGGTAACTCAGGCTTTCAAACGGAAAGGCCAGATACCACTGCCTCACTGAAGCTGTCTTGGCACTGTGCTCTTGCTAGGGCACTGGCAATCTCCTAGGCTTATGGTATTTATTTTTGACCTTTCTGAGGATAATGGAAATGGGAATAACCAGTGGGTGCTGTTTAGAGTTAAATGGAGGAAAGGGAATGATTCCTCGGCTCCATCGTTTCTATCTGTACTAAGAATACGAGGCAGAGCAACGCTGTCAGTCTTATGCCTGGAAACAGAAGAGTGGAGGAGGAAGAGGCCAGGCCTCCCCTTCCCCCAGAACACGCCTCCTAACCCTAAAACCGCTGGCTCCACCCTACCTTCAACAGTGCAGTGGCACCAAGCAAGCCTTTTACACATAGGCTTTTGAGGGAAATTCCAAATCCAAACTACAGCACTCAGACACTTTAGATATTGTCAGCTTTTTTCCAAAAAGCAGGCAGTAACTCAGGGGTACCAGTGATGGACTGATGCAGCAGATGGTGTGGAGGCACAACAGCATCATCTGCTCAAGTTGGGACTGATCTGTGCTGTTTTTGAGAAATTTGTACATTTCACTGTATTATTTCATATATTAGAATATCTTACCCATAATTGTGAAATTTCCAGGTACATAATCCAGATTACATAGTTCCCCCCCCTTATTATTTTTTAAAAAGGAATTCCTCACTTATAACTTGTATTAAGCTATACTTACAAGTATACCTTGTAAGAGAACATCCCCGTGAAAAACGGGAGTTGGGTTGTTTAGGTAAGAAGAAATAAGGTAAAGGAGGACTATTAGACATGGAATAAAAAGATCCAACCGAGGAAAAAGTACATCTTTTGAGAAAAAAAGGGATAGGAAAAGAGAACATTATCACCACTGGACAGTGTCTCTACTGACATGGTAAGGACAAAAGAGGTCTTTATATATTTTTGTTTGTTTTTAAAACTCCTATTTTTCTAAAAAAAATATTCTGTGCTCAGGAAACTAGAATAATCTGAAGTGGAAATGCAACCCAACAACAAAGACAAGAAAATGGTATCTTTCAAAGTACCAGCTCTTAACTTCTGGTATCATAGTGCTTTGAGAACAGGATAACAGCTAGCTGCCCTCCTCCCAGAAGCATGTACCTGTGTCTACCAAATCGTGCATGCAATTTCAGGATTTCACAGAACACCTTGAAAATCAATCCATGGACACTCCCACCCCTAACATAGAGATCCATGACCCTAGATCAGCGATGGTGAACCTTTCAGAGCTTTCGGCGATACAGCTTGCTGCACCTTGTAGCTTACCCACCACTGCCCAGGTTATAATTCCTCTTTTAAAGAAGTCGATTCTGTAATATTGTCCCTAAGGATGTGTTGAAACATTTCTTGTGGTCCTGTACATATCCTCAAATAGCGCACTGCAGAACTGAGAATATGGAGTGTGGAAAGCTACAGCAAGGAGGAAAACGACGAGCAGAAGATGATGGGGGATTCTGGTGTCAGCCCAACATGGATGTGAATTCCCACCACGACGTGACCTTTGTAAAATTAACCTTTGTAATCAGCTTCAGTTTCCCCATCAGGACTGTCTTGTCAACTTCACGGGGTTGTTATAAGTGTTTATATATTGAACAGACTGTTGCAAAAGTGGTTAATTTTTTTGAATATTTATTTATTTAAAAGGAAAAAAAAAAGAAAAAACAAAACAAGACAAAACAGTATAAGGGTACAAGCAATACAGGACTACAAAAAAAAAAAAAAACAGTAAGAAATCACCAGTTAATAGATTACACATTGTCAACTTAGAAATAGTTGCTCAAGTCACAGGATCAAAGCATACAAAGTGGACATTCAAACAGTGAGACTGCAAACAGTTGTGTTCAGTGATCCAACAAAAACTCCATAATATGGTCATCTATCCGAACACACCTAAACACACTTGCAGTTGTATCCTTTAAAGCACTTTTTTTTCCTCTCTTTTTTTTTTTACAACAAAGTTTATACATTTTGGGTTTTATTACTTCCATGGTTCTTATTACTTTTTTTTGGAAGAAAATAAAACCAAATATGACAAAACAAAGCTGTTAGTCAAAACCAAGGATAGACATAGTACATGATGTAAAAACAGAGTACAAGGTTATCAACAATGGTTACCATAATGCCACTTGCTTCCTTAAAAAGAATTGCCTATATCGTTAGGTATAATTAAGTTGAACAAAACAGTACAGAACAAGACAAATAAAACCTAAACGTGGTAAACATTACAAGACTTCAAAAGAAGATAATAGTCAAATCAGAATGGGCATCATAGTGAATCTTATTGCCTTCAAAGTAGTTGCCTATACCCTCAAACTAGATACTATCATACAGTGGAACAGAGTCTAATCAGTCAAAAACAAGATAGTGCGAGTAATACAGGACTTCAAATCAAGTTAATAGGAAATCAAAAAAGTTGCTATAATATATCCTACTAATTTTTTTGATTTTCCCCCTTAATTAAAAAATAATAAAAAAATTAAAAAATAAATAAATAATTTTTTTTAATGAATAAGGGGGAGATTGAGATAAAAGAGGACATAGCAACATAACAATACAGGTCAAAGCATGACAGTTTCACCAATCTAGTGCTTCATCACCAAATAGCCCGACTTAATAGTAGTTACCATAGTGTCTTTTTCCTTGAAGTATTTGAATA